CGGAGGTCTGGTCAGGCAGAGCCTGGGGCCTCTCCCGAGGTCACTCCCGCAATGGCTGGAGGGTTTGGGTCCTCCTGGAGTCCCTGAGGAGCTGCCATCGTGCTGTGGGCCTCCCTGAGCTCCTCACCGCAGGGGCCTCTCCATAGGGCGGCTCCCAGCATGGCGGCTGGCTTCATCACAGCGAGCAAGGCAGGGGCCAGAGAGAGGGCCAACAGTCAGAAGTCACTGTCTTTTGGAGCCTAATCTCAGAAGTGACTTCCCATCACTGTTGCCTGTTGGGTTCGCTAGAAGCCGGTCACCAGGCCCCATCCGTGCTCAAGGGGAGATGGTGCTGGTGTGGACCCCAGGAGGCAGTCACCGCTCGGGGGTCACACCCAGACGGGGTGCTGCCTGTGGGAAAGGGCCCAGAGGGGAGATCCTGGTCTCTTCCTTCGCTGCCGCATCCCCAGCACCGAGAAAAATGCCTGGCGCAACCTTCGTCCCCTGTCTCAGAGGGGGGGTCCCTCTGTCCCCCCAGGCAGGATTCTGTGGCCCAGAGCCCAGAAGACCCCCCACAGGAGAGCCCCCCCATGCAGAAGGGCCTCTGGTTGCATGACAGCGTCTCGCTCTGACCTCCCACTCTGGGGGGAGACAAGTTCCATCCAGAAGGAGATGTGCGAAAATTGGATTTGCTGCCAGGGTCAAGCTCTATCCCAGCTGTCACCTGCTTTTGAAACAGAGAGTGTGTCTCCAAGTGACACCTCTCGCTCGGGCCCTCCCCGCTGGAAGGAGAGCCCCCGGCCACGTCTGCGGCCCCACCCTGGCCTGGCCACCTTGTCTCTCTGCAGCCCTGGCCGTGGCCCCCTCCTTCCCACTTTTCACATAGCAGCCAGAAAGGCCTTTCGAAAACGCAAATCAGACCCCACCATTCTTCTGCTCAGAGCCTGCCCCCCCCCCCGCCCCTGTCACTCTGAAATAAAATCCCAATGCCCACTGTCCCCAGCCCCGTACCTCCCAAAGCTCATTTCCTAGAATGCGCCCGGGGCACTGTCTGCTCGTTCCTGGAACACACGGAGCTCTTCCTCCCTCAAGGCTTTCCTCCAGTTGTACCCTCCCCTTTCTGCAGTGCTGGCTCCTTGCGATCCTTCTTATCCAGCTTAATTGCCACCTCTTCAAGGAAGCCTTCCCTGACTGCACTATGCTCCCATTATCACCATTCACATCCTCTTGTTTCTTTATGTCCTGGTACAGATTACAACCTATTACCATTTTGGTTTAGTTGCCAGCTTGTTCATTGTCTGTTTGCCCCTTGACATCAGCTCTGAGAGGGCTGAGAGGATACCTGATTCATCACAGCTTTATCCTCTGGGCCCAGCATGCTCTGGGATAAATGAATTCCTCTACCCGGAGGATTGCAACACCATCTCAACCTCCGTCCTGCCTGCAATCCATCCCGCACACGGCCACAGGATGAATCGAGGTGAAGCTGAACTCTGAGCACACAACCATCAATGTCGGTCGCCCCAGGTGCCCACCAGTGTCTGGGGACACTTGGCCTCAGGGTCAAGGCTGGGCCCAGCCAACCATTTCCTAACGTTCCCACACACATGCTCCAGGCTCGGTCCAAAGGAGCACCCCCTGCCCTTTCCTGTCTCTGGGCATAGGCTGGGATGTTCCCTCCACCTGGAAATCCTTTCTCATCTTTGGAGGCAGATGTGTGTACTCATCTGGGCTCAAGCCACCTCCCCCAGGAAGGTGTCCTGGTCACCTCTGTTGGCGCAGAGGGAAGATGTTGGGGTTGGGGATCAGGCCTGGATCCGTGTCCCTGTTCTGCCTCTTGCCTGTGTGTGACCTTGGGCAAGTCAGCCCACATATCTGAACCCGTTCAGGGGGAACAGTCCTGGCTATAGGAGTTGCTGAAGGAAATACAGTATCGGAAAGTGCCTGCCCCAAAGTAGGTGCAGGATGGATGTGGGGGACCCTTTCCAGGTTTGCTGGTAACGTGGACGCTCCCTCACACTCAGCTCTTCCCGTGGTGCCCTTGGGGGTGGACTTGTCTTCCTCCGTCCCCAACGGTCTAGGAGCCACATCTGGGCAGGACCATACACCTTCTCCCTCTCCATTCCCTCACTCTGAGACTTGCGTGCACAAAGTAGGGTCCACGGACAGTTTGTGGAAAATTCTTGACCTTTCTTCCTGTCTGGATACTCCACCTTTATAGAGTAAAGCAACCCGATGCAGTCGTATGCTTGTTCATTCACTCATTCACTGAGCTTCCATCAAGCCAGTGTGAGAACCACATTTCACCCCACTGTGGAACTTGCTTTCTAGAATTTTGGAACTTCTGCCATTCATTTGGTCAACAAACATCTGCCTGCTATGTTATGTGCATACTAGTGAGCCCAGGAGAGTCTCTAGCTTCCAAGATGTTGTTAGCAGTTGCCAGGGACACCTGGGTCCCTAGGTGTCCCTCTTCCCTATAGCTCCAAGTTCTCTGGGCACTGTGAGACTCAGGACCCACACAGGCAGAGGCTATGAAATCGGCCATGATCCCCTATAGCCAGTCAGGGTGTCGGGCGCTCCCTGCCTCCCAGTCTCCTGCATGCATTCCAGGCTCTCTGACCAGGCTCCCCACCTTCAGAGGTTGCTGGGGGTGCCTGGTGGACCATCCCACGGGGCCACCTTCCTTAAAGAGGAGCCAGAGAATGATCCAGCAATTCCACTTCTGGGTATATATCCCAAAGAACTGAAAACAAAGTCTTGAAGAGATACTCTAGGTCATAGCAAGATACCCACAATAGCCAGAAGGTGGAAAAAAACCCAGGACCCTCCAACAGATGAACGCATGAACGAAAGGGGGTTGATCCACACAATTGGACATTATTTGGCCTTAAAAAAGCAAGGAAATTGTGACACATCCACAACATGGATGAACTTGAGGGCATTATGCTAAGGCATTAAGAGGGTCACCAAAAGACAAATGCCGTATGATTCCACTTACACGAAGGACTTAGCGCAGTCAAATCTGTAGTGGAATGTGGGACCCCAGGGGCTGCAGGGAGGGAGGAGAGGGAATTGTTTAAGGGGTACAGAGTTTCAGTTTTACAAGATGAAAAAATTCTGGACATCGGTTGCACAAGAATGTGAATGTACTTAACATTACTTAACAAATGGGTGGCCAATTTTATGTTATGTGTACTTTACCACAATTAAAAAAAAATTTTTTTTTAAAGAGAGCTAGAGGGGAGCAGAGAATCCCTCCTAGGAGAGGACACCTGGGCAGGTAGGAATGTCCTTGCAGGATCTGCCCTTGGCCTCTGAGCCTCACCTCCTCCAGAAAGTCCTCCAGCTTTCATTCCTACTACCACCAGACTGGCTGACCTTCTCTTCTTTTTCGGTAGCCTGAGAGTGGACGCACCTCCTTTCCCCCTGGCACTCCTTAACACTGCTGACTAAGCTTGCTGCCTCCAGCTTTCCTGAAAACAGAAATAAATTAGAAAGGAAATAAAGCGAGAAAAATCAAACTGGAAAGAACAGGTTTCTGATCCAGCAACGGCCAAGCCGCTTCTCCGGACTCAGAGTCTTGCTGGATTCCACAAGGGCCGTCCTCTGACAGTCTCACTTAATTCTTCATTTACAAATCAGCATGGCTTTTCTTATCAGTAAGCCATGCCTGGCCGTTCCCCGGTATCCTTCTCACTGCCATGGCTCCCCTCGTCCCGCGGATCACCCCCTGCCTTGGAGGTGGGCCTCTGCCTTCCCTGTGGCGCCTGGGGCTCTCCCTACAGGCACACTGATGTCGGTGGCCCTGGGCAACCTCCTTATCAAACCCAACCTGGCCTCTGTACCCCTAAACTTGGTACTTGCACTCGTGGGCTTCGCCTCCCCTGGACCTTCAAAATACAGTCGGCAGGGGGCGCCTGGGTGGCTCAGTCAGTTGAGCGTCTGACTCTTGATTTTGGCTCAGGTCATGATCTCAGGGTCCTGGAATCAAGCCCCACGTCGGCCTTGCTGCTCAGGGGTGAGTCTGCTTGAGAGTCTCCCTCTCCCTCTGCACCTCCCCATGCTCGCGCGTTCTCTCTCTTTCTCAAATAAATAAATAAATCTTTAAAAACAAAAACAAAATACAGTCAGGGAAGGTTTCCTCATCAGCTGCTAAGCCTCCCTACCCAGCGGGCCAGGGTTCAGTGAGCCCTCTGGGGAGAGGAAGACAACACGTGCCCAGCCCTGGACCCTTGGCCCTCTGGTCGGCCTTAGGGATGACCTAGCCCCTGAGAAGCGAGCAGCCTGCTTCCCCTCTGGATCTTCCATGCTGGGATGTGAGTTCCAGGGACGAGAGGCCAGAGCTCAGCATCCTTTGACCCCCCTCCCCCTCTCCCAACCCGGACCTTGGCCATCAGAGAGCTGTAACTTCTCTAAAAGCCTTCTTCTTCCCCCAGGGCACATCCCCACCAAAGCCTTCGGTTTTTCTCTCTGACTCTGGGGGCCTGGCCGATGAAAGCCATCCTCTCTCTGGTGATCAAATCCAGACCAGGTTTCACGGCCTCACAGTGGCTGGGAGGTCCCAGCCTCACGGGCACCCTTCCGGACTACACACTTGCTCTTCGCCCAGGGTCCCCGTGGCGAGGCTGTTCTGAGGGCCACACCACAGGCTGCCACGCCCCCTGGCCCATCTCTAGCGGCAGGTGGTTGACCCAGAGACCGCAATGCCCTGTGGCCGCACTGACCTGCGTTCATGCCCGGCTTCCCGGCTCCCTCGCTGGCCTCCTGACAAGGTGCACATGTTCCTTAACCTCTCTGACTCCAGCCTCCTTGTCAGCGAGTGGGAGTAGCGACGGCCCCACCCGCCACGGCGTTGCTGTCCAGTTCAAACGCAATAATATGTGTAACGTCGCCAGGCCTGGAGCAGGAGGTCAGGCAGTGCCCCCTCCTTCCTCCTCTCCACGATGGGCAAGGCTGCCTGGAGCCCCCTGGCCTGCACTGTCTGCGTTACCCGACCCCCGTCTTGTACTTCCACTCACCTGCTGCAAATGAACGGCTGGGGAGGAATAATGATAAGCCTCTTACGGTTGTATATTACAGTTCTCAGAGGCCATTTCCAATTCTTCATCATATTTGTTCTTTTATAAAGACCTGGGAGGCTGGCAGGGGAGGCATATTAACCCCATTCTATAGATGTAGGCGCTGAGCCCCAGAGGACGGAAAGGCCTCATCCAAGGTCGCGCAGCCGGGAAGTGGCAGAGTTAAGGTGGAAACCCAGAGCCTGCCTTTTCTTCTTCTTCTTCTTCTTTTTGTTGTTCTGGAAAGTTTGCCAAGGCACCACCCTGTTCTAGGAGCTGATGAGAGCAGCCGCCTCTCCAGGGAGAGTGGAGCCAGTGGTGCTGGGGGGTGAAGGAGGGGTGGGGGCATGGCCTTTGAGACCTGGCAGGGCCCGTGCCCGGGTTGAACTAATTGCCATGCTCCCTCACACTCACATTGAGCCCTGCCTTCCACAGAGGCCCTAAAGTGCTTCTGAGCTCCTCGTACATATTTATATGCCTGCTTGCGTGATAAAAATAAAACCACTTCACCCACCGCTGAAATGCAGCCACTAGGGGTGTGAAATATGGGGCTTATCGAACAGCCGCGAGGAGCAGCTCTCGGGTGGGGGGAGGTTCCTGTCCCTCCTGACATTGCAAAGGGGCAGCTGGAGACAGGTGGAATTTAATTATCTTGGTAAGTAAGCTTTGGACTTGGAAGCAGGAACGGGGAAGACAACTGGTCCCCAGGCTCCCGGGACACCCTCAAGCCCCCCTGGGATGGAGCTGGTCCTGCCAGAGGAGATGGTACCATCTCAAGGGGAATGTGGGTCCCTCAGCACAAACCCCTTCACATGCACCCCCAAACCTCGCTCCCTGAGAACCAGCCTCCAGCCTTCTGTTCTCCTAAACCCAATGTTTACCAGGTACCACGTTTTTCTTTTCAAGGAAGATGTCAGGAGGCTTCAGTGATCTAAATACCTTGGAGTGAGGACGAGCATCTTTGCTGGTGGGCCACTCAAGGCAGTCCTAGTTAAGAAAGGTATTGTTCTGGTGATTAACATAACAATAAAAAATTTTTAAAAAAGAAACAAAATGAATGAACAAAAGAAAAAAAAAGAGACAAGCAAAAAACTGGACTTTAAAAAAAAAAAAGAAAGAAAGAAAGGTATTGTTCTGGAGCATCTTTTGTGGCCGTCCTGACCTTCCAAGGGTACCTTGACTCTGTTGTGATTACTGATGCTGAGCCTTGCTCTAGAGTTAGACTTCTGGGCCCCTCCCTCCTTGCTTCCCTCCCTCCCCTTGTACTTCACACCTCTTGCCACCATACTCTGAATTCTCTGGGCGGAGCACAGAGAAGTCACCTAACACAGACACTCGGAGCTTGTGGCCGCTAGAGCTGAGCCTTGGGGCATGAGTGGGAGTTAGCCCGCCTACAGGGTGTGTGTGGGGTACAGGGGGACAGGGTAAGGGGGATGGGGGAGATGGGGGTGGGGAGGAGGAAAGGGGGGAAGGGTGTTTCCGGCAGAGGGAATAGCATGTATAAAGACCTAGAGTTAAGAGTGTAATGAGCACTAAGAATTGCAGAGTCGGGCGCAGAGTGGAGACAAAGACCCTGTAAGCTATTCCAGGGGTGTTGGCTTTACTCTGCAGGCCATGGGGAGCCAGTGAAGGATTTTAAGGGGGCTGTCCCAACCAGCCAGTAGCCCTTGGTGTGCCCAGTGAGCTGGGGAGTGGAGAGATGGGGGTCATGCTTTACATGCAGGATAAAGTTCGGGCAACGATGCGGAGGTCCATTCTGAGGAGATTCAGCTGTCTTATTTTAGTGGAGCCTGCATGGGGTGAGGCCTGGGGGCATGCAGGAGACAGGGGACAGGTAGCCATCTGGGAAGGAAGAAGCTGGGGAAGAGGAGCCGACCGATGGGTGCACGACTCTGATGGCAAAGAGGCCTGGTGAGCAGATACAGGGTGGCGGCCCTGACTTTGGCTTTCAGGTGTCTTAGGCGCATACCAGCCCCTGCCCACTGGGAGCTCCTCAAGGGCACAGATTGTGTCCTTGTGTATCTGTATCTTCATGTGTTTCCCATGGTCTGTTAGCCATTAACGTTCTTTTTTAAGGGACAGATAGCTTTGAGGGTTGAGGGGGCTTTCCATTTGTGCTTTCCAGTGTTCTCCAATTCTAGGGAAATACTCCAGCCGGATTTACCAGCTGCCTCTTTGTAGGGTCACCCTATTGCCAGGGTAAATGGAAAGGGGAGGACAGGAGGCTGGGCGTGGGCAGAAGATAGGCAGCACAGGAAGGCAGGGAGGGGAGACCGAGTCAGGTGACCGGCGAGTGGGCTGGGGGTTTCGTGGGATTGTTTCCTTGGTCAGGAGTTGAGCGGAGAGGCGGGGAGGAAGGAGAAGGGCATCTCTGCAGAGATGTAGATGAGATGATGAGAAAGTCCCCTCTGGGGGTTGGGAAGGGACCGGTCAGTGTAGAGAGATCAACTGTCAAGAGTCACAGAATCTCAAAATGGGCAGATGTAATCAGGTCATTTTGTTCAATGCAGGTTTTTAGAGCAGGTTTCATTGTTCCTTTGCTATCCCTTGGCATGCATGGGCTTCTGTGATCTGCAAAGACCCTGCCTAACCTCAGAGCTCCTCTTCCCCACACGCCCCTGGTCCCAGCTTTCTTAGATCACCTGCTGCTCCGTGGGAGGCAAGCTCCACTGGGTGTCTGGACAGCTATGCGTATGCGGCTCTGCTTCAAACGTTTTTCTCTAACTCTTAGCTATCCCCAAAGCTTCAGGGGTCACCTCCTCCAGAAAGCCAGTCTCCCATGTCCTAGCTCAGTGCCCGGTCTCTGATCCATCAAAGGCACAGGAAGGGAGAGGTGAAGAAGGAAGGTGGAGGTGGGTTTGTGTCCAGGTAAGACATCCTCTGTCAGGGGCCTGGGGGAGTGAGCCCGGCTTACAAATGGGGACTCTAAAACCCAGAGAAATGAAATTGGCTTTCTATACTATACACCAAATCGGGATTTTCTCAAAGGTTTAGGGACCTAGAAACTCAAGACAGAAAGCAGGCTGATGAGGAGAAGAGGAAAGTCATCAGTTTTTATCAGATGGCTTTGTAATTCACCAGAGCACTTTCGTTAAAATACCTTTGTACTCCCAGCTGAAGGACTAGTCTGGCTAACTGGACCTTCCTTCTTTGCTTTCCGGCCCCTTTAGAACCATGTGACCCAGGCCTGAGCAGGGCGGCATTGGAGGTGCCAAGGGGCAAAGTGAAATGCTTATGTTATGATCTGGGAAGACAAGACACACAAGTGAATCACCTGGAGAGACACTACTTCACTGTGTAGTACAGACCACACGCACCTCCAACAGGGAGAATGCAGGGAGCTGACAATCTTACTTTGGGTCTCAATTTCCTCATCTGTAGTACTATGGACCCATCACACAGTTATGACTAACTAGAGAGTTTAAGTGAGTGTGACAGTGTGCCTCACTGTGATTACATTAAAGCTTAGCAAATTGGTGAAATGGGAAGCTGATTCGTTTTACAGAATATAGGCCCTCAAACTTAAAGGTTGTAAAAATAGAACAAATCGCATATTAGATGGCGCCACCTGTTGTCTATGCGTAGTATTGCAGTTTGGCAGGAAAAGAGCAAAGGGGCTGCTCTAAGGGTGACCTCAGAAGATCCCGTGTCCAACTTGACAGCGTGGAGTCAAGAGTCCAAAGGCAGGAATAGACTGACTGATGCTGTAGAATGTCATAGAAGAGAAGTGAATTGTGGATCCAGCTCTCACTGACCTTTTCCTTTGGTTCATGGTCATTGCAACCGTAGGCTGAGTCCCTTGAGATCTTGACCCTGGAGTCTTCATCCACCCTTCTCTGATGCAGAGTGCAGGAAGCTAAGGATGAAAAGAAGGAACCGAGGCGTGGGGGTAATTATAGCATTGTGCGGCTGCCTCTGTGGGTGATCATTGTTATAGCTAATATTTATTGAATGCTTACACCATTTAAAGCATTGTCTTACTTAATCAGTGCAACGCAATGAGGTTGGTACTCATCTCCATCCCCATTTTATAGAGGCAGAAATCAGGGCACAGGGAGGTTAAATAATGTGTTCGAGTTCTTACAGCAATTCCTCCTCTCTTTCCTCCTTCCCTCCCTCCTTCCTTCTGTCCCTTCCTCCCTTCTTCCTTCCCTCCATCCCTCCATCCTTCCTTTCCTCCTTCCCTCCTTCCTTCCCTCCATCATTCCCTCCCTGCATCCCCCTTTCTCCCTTCTTTCCTTCCTTCCTTCCCTCCCTCCATCCATCCCTCTTTCTCCCCTCCTTTTTCCTTCCTTATATCCATTCAACAGTCATCTTCTTGAGTGGTAAAGCTGAGATTTGAGTCTAGGCAGGCCAACTTTAGAGCCCATGCTTCCAGCCACTGTGCCCGACTACCTCTGTTGGCACCTTCTAACTATTACTAATATCTGTTAGTCTGGGTCTCTCATACTTAGCAAATTCAATGACACAGGAAAAAGTCAAATCTTGCTGATGCTTTCTAATCTTGATTCATCTATCCACTCCTCCATCCATGTGCTCATCCACCCATCAGTCCTTTCTCTAATTCATCTGTCTACACACCCACCCACCATCATCCATCCATCCATCCACCATCTACCCATCCACCCACCCATTCACCCATCCATTTATCTACTCAATAATTCTTTCATCCATCCATCCATCCATCCATCCATCCATCCATCCATCCAACCATCCATTCTCTCACCCATCCATCTTTCCATTCATCCATTCTTCCTCCTTTCCATCTATCTATCCAACACCTTCTTGAGTGTAATGCAGAGATGAATCAGCTGTGGTTCTCATCCTCATGTTGGTTATAGTTCCAGAAATACGTAAAAGCAATGCAACCTTAGACAAGGAGCTTCACTTCTGTGCCTCTGTTTCTTTGTCTTATTCTATTGGGGTTCAAAACAGAACCTGCTCCTAGGGTTATGGACAAGGTTCAGTAAATTAGTTCAGCCAAAACACTTTGAACAAAGCCTGGCACTTAGTAAGCCCTCAATGAATGCCATCAGTTGGCAGTGGTTGTTGTTCTTCGTATGATCATGATTATGATTGTGATTATGATTATGATCGCTGCTACTACTATTACTAGGGTAATCCAGGAGGCTTGTCCAGGGCCAGAGCAGCATCTCCCATTCATCCCATGATCTCCACAACTCTTGCTTATGAGATGTTAATAGGTATTTATGCAAAGAGAATTCTGAGGCCGAACAGTTTGGGTTTCAAGGAAATAAAACTGAAAAGCTCTGCAGGATTTCTCATAGCCTTTAATATGCTCATGTGAATTGTAAATCTCCAAGAAGTTGGGGGGGGGACCTAATATGCAGCATTTCAAGAAATGTTTATTGCAAACTTGCAGAACAAACGGTTGGGGGACCCAGTGTTGGCCTGCTTCTC